GACTGGAACTAGCTCTGCATTTCATTGAATAAAATGCACACCCTTCAGCCAATCAGAATCAAGAATTTCAACAGACCATGGAATAACTGTAAATTGACTTCCTCAGAACTCCCTGCATGACACTTCAGTTTTTTTTTACTGAAATTGACTATGGTTCATTTTAGTTTTATATGTGTCCGCATGGTGTTTAGTAGATGTGTGAATAAAACCTAGGACCTTCTATATATTGGTATGTTTCCCTGCTTGTGGGAAAAGTTGTTTGTGATGAGCTTTGGTTTATCATACACTGTAAAAAAATATGTTATTTACAGTTTCTGTATTTTGTAACCTTGGGACCTTGATCTCTGCTTTGTCGACTTTTGATGTTGAAAATTTAACTGTACGTGTTAATAAAGTGACTTTTATTGACATTTTTAGTGAAATAATATAATATATATAAGAAATAATATAGAGAGAAATAGAAGAAAATGTACTGGCAGTTTATTACAAGGTTTTTGGACTGTAATATACAACACCAATCCAGACAGTATCATTCACTTTAACAGTTCAACAAACCCTCGAGTACTTTTATTTGAGATTTTAACAGATTTGTGTGTGTTGAGCATCAGTTTAGGCAATGTTAGCACCTGTCAGCTTTAATTATGGGGAAAACTGGATAACTTTGAGCTTTTGTCTGCTGATTTCATCTTCTGGGTTTAAAATAATTTTGGGGCGGGATCAAAATCAGTGATGTAGTGCGAATCTGCTAGTGGAGTGGTGACGTGTTGGTTTGTCATTATTATTCATAGCCAAGTTTCTTATCCTATGAGAAGACCCTGCTTCTTAATTATTGATGAGAGCACATGCTTTCCGAAGGCAAGGCAGACCTGGCAAGCTGTAAGACCCAATGACTGGGTAAGACTAAGTCTGCGGAGTTCGCGTACGGCACACAGTATTTAGCCATTCATGATAGGTTGTAAGTGTTTGTTTCCATGATCCACGGGGTTTATTGCATGTTTTTCCCTGCGATGCTGTCAGGGCCAATACAGCAAAGCTGTTTGTTTGCTGCAAGCATTTATGTCAGAAGAGCTGTACAAGAATTGGAGAATGGCGAACCTGGTCTTTCATCAGTTGAGTTCGTTACATTCAGACACATCGCCTATATCAGTGCTGCTGTGTTCACACCTATGTTTAAAATCCTCCGGATTACTGGCAGGGTTAATGGTTGGAATAGACAGGGCAAGAGACCTGCTGCACTGCTATCCATTGTGTCAGCATTCAGACCTGGGGTTCAGAAGGAGAGAAGTCCTCCTCATTTATAGTTTTTATATGAACATGATTATTAATAATAATACATTTTATTTATATTGCGCTTTTCTCAGACTCAAAGAATTGAGTCAGATTATCTTCAAATGATATATCAAATTGGGGTTATCTGTATGTAAATACGAATAACAAATGTACGAATAACAAATGTAGCAGGGCATTAAATTACTTACCTTTTATTCCTTGCATTTGATCTTTGTAAACTATAAAATCATGCGTCTCCTCGCGGTTTGTGTTGTGAGCCAACTGACAGTTGTTCGCTCCCCTCTTTCTCCCCTGCTCTGCCGGCCACACCCACTCCTCCCTCTGCGCCCATTATGATGGATTTTTAAAAGATTCTAAGGTAGCCCCTATGCTGAATTCAGTGACTGGTGCACCTCTCCCCAGTGCTACTGTGAAGGCTGTCAAATCAGTGTGTGTGTGTGTGCGTGCGTGCGTGTGCGGTGACAGTCCTCATACGCGCTCGTTATAATCAATATGAATATTCCGATCAAACTGAATACAATCTTACATCCACAACACATGGCAAGCAAGGCGTTGATAATAACAAATAATCATATTAGATTACAAACAACCCAACAGGTTGTTAAGCATGTGTGCATCGCTGCTGTTATGTTTACACATGTAATATTTTTTCCTGAGGCGATCTAAAGCAAAATATGCAATGGCAATCAATCAAACATATCTACAATGATGAGGAACGTGGTTACTTACTGAGTTATTAACACACAGCAATACCACACGAAGAAAGGACGGACTTTGAAGGAATAAACAATGTGAGGAAATCCATTATAGTGCACTGGATAAGTCTGAACAAGTTCTGCCCACGCATGCGCGAGGCAGGCAGTTCTGTACAATTGCGTATTTATCAGCTTAAAGATATTTGACTAATTTAGCCATGGGATTGATAACGATAATCTTTAAAATAGCATTTGTCTGCATTTATCGGCCGATATTATGGCCACCAATATATCGTGCATCCCTAACATGTACTGTACATACTACTGTAAATGGCTGGGGTCAGATTGTGTTATGGTTAGTTACATGTGATTATGCATAATTATTTGTAACTTCTATAGAAAGTGCATGTAACCTGTTTAAGTGCATGAAACTATGTGACCTCAAATTAAAGCGTTACCAAAAATCCTTAGCTACTGTTCACCACTGAGTTTAAGCTTCACTTGTCACGCTTTATTTGGCTGAAGGTTGCAGGCTTGCCTTCTGTAGACTTTGAGCAAGGCTGCCATTAATTCTCACCATTAAACAGCTGTCTTGCCTGCAGCTTGGCATCCTTATTGCTCTCATT